GCAAATAAAGTGGAGATGATAATGGCAGATAGAGACAGATAATTGTGTCAAGCGAGTGGTAGTGATCATAAGTAAAGTGCGTGAATTGTTATGAATTATAGCGTGTGTTTAAGTTAAAGTGACTGTGGAAATTCTGTGTATTGCATAGTTGTATTGAGAAAAAATAAACTAGTTTTATTTAAGAAAGGACTTGTATAGCTGAAGTTCCTCGGGAAAAATTTATACCGGAAATTAACAAATGACCAGAGACGTAACAATAGGTTCATTTACTGTGATTTGCAATTCCCTGTTAACCCTTTCACTACAGTTAAGTCAAGGAGCACATCACAACCTTTCAAAGAGTTGCATCCAAAATTCAATGAAACTATTTTATTGTCATTGCATACAAATAAACTTGGCATCAAAACATAGTTAATGAATGAAATTTCAATATCATAAAAGTTTTAAACTATTAATTTTATGAGGAAATATTTTTAAAAATCGTCAATCTCCCCTAGTATGAAAATTGTGACATTTGTTCTCTTAGTCCTGAATTTATTTATCACTCCCTCTGTGAAGTTGGTACTTAACTAATTGCTCATTATAATATAGATATTACTAAGGCAAAGCGTAATTTTTATAGCCTTCAATCTTATTTGTTTACAGAGCCATAAACTAGAAAATCATACTCACTTGCCATGCTCACCTGTCACATTTCTTTTTTACAAATTGCCAATAGTTCTCTCTGATGTTTTATACTATATAGTTATAACCCTTAGAAAACCAAAATTTTAATCTGTCGAACAATATGTTATATTGCATTGTTTTCTGTCTATTTCACCTCCAGTTTCAAAATTTCTCATGGTATTCACATTGACAAACTTGGATAAATTTTTAAAGGTTCTTATTACATAGTTAGAAAGCCAAATAAGTTATGATAGTTGTAGGTCATTGTTTGTTTTTATGTGTTATTATTGTGTTCTTAGGTGCATAAAATTTAGTGTACTAGTACCATTATTATAAAAAAGTAGGCTTAACCTTCATTGACAGTCGACAGCAAAAAAACAAGAGAACACAAGTAAGTACCACATTTTTTGCATATATATTCTTTATTTATTATTGTAAAAGTAACTGAAATGTAAAAAATTAGAAACATATTAGGTTAGTTAGGGTTAGATTACATAAGATAATGAAAAGCAATGATAATAATTCTACACAGTGTATGCTAGCTATAGCTTGTTCATAATGTAATTCACTATGATAAACTTGATTTACCCATTTGCCAAGTAGTTTACAACTTTTGTTGTGGGATTATTAGTTACACATTGGTCAAAGAGCAATAAAACATTAAAATTTGAATGTTAACAAATGTATACTGTTACAAGCTTTAAGCTATTTAGGATAAACAGTTGTTTCATTTTACAATTTGCAATCATGCTAGAAAGAAAAAAGGGTAATTTAAATTTATTTAATATTTTTTATGGCGGTTACGAGGTCAGTGAAATAGATCAAATGTATAGAGTTAAGGTAGAGAAAATAAAAGATAAAATGTGGAGTTTTACTGAAAAAAACGTTTGATATTTATTTAGGAGGTTTTAGAGATGATGCAAATGAAATTTGACAATTTTCAGATGAAGGAAAGTATTTTTAATCTTAACATGAAAATCACTTTGCACTCTGAGCAGTCAATACATTGACTACATATATTCAAGGACAACTTGTTAGTAAAAATACTTAATTAAAAAATCAGATTTTTTGTGTACAATGGACTTGTGTTGTTTACTGAAAGCTTGGAAAATTTCATGAAGATACACAAAACATATTAAAAATTTTAATATTGGAACTCTGATGGTCACTTTGGGGTTACAAACCCAATCGAATTGACTGAGCTCTTAGCCAGAGGTTTAATCTTTAAATAACAAACAGGATAAGAGAACATTTGTTGTACATTTGCTGGTATGTTAAACTTATATTAAAGTTTTACTTTATTACCCATTCAAGTCGTCTCCAACCATTATTAGTCTCAAAGTGGGTTCCTCGTCATCGAATTTATTTTATCATCTGTCTACCTGCTTCTTTAATGTAAGCAAATAGTGATAATATAAAACCTATTTTTAATTTCACTTTTTTTTTCTTCTTCTTCTTCCCCTCCTACATTCTTGATGTTTAAGAGTAGGGCTTCTGTAACTATGAATATACAATATATCATTATATGATATTGTCTCATATTTTAAGGGTTTCTTAAATTTCCAATTTAGGAGTCTTTTAGCTGATTTTAGGAGGGCTCTTCAATCAACCTCCCCACCCTGCCCCAAAATATATATATGCTTAATACTATAAGTTATTATTTCTGTTGGTTGGATCTGATATTTGATGTTTTACTTGTTTTGTTTGCTGACTACCCATTTGCAAGCTTCTTATTAAATGTTTGATTTATTATGGGACCAATGTTATAATTATGGGAATCATTTATAGAACTGGTGAAAAACTAATTTGAAAGATTTTGGACAGAAATTGTCTAAATTAATTACAGCATAACATCCTTTCTTTTGTTCCTTAAAAAAAAAAAAAAGTAAAAGTGTTAGATACTGGTCTTATTATATCATCATCCATTTAATTATTGGCTGTAATCTAAGTAGTGGGTGGTAGTGCTGATGTATCTCATTCTTCATCCAGTTATTAAATATAATTTGTATTGTACTTGGCCTAATGCACCATCTTTCATCCAGTTGTTACATATAACTGAGATATATATATATATATATTGTGCATCATCCAGTTGAACTGTAGATTATATGGTGTTTTTGCTAGCATACCATTCTCATTTTTCTGGTTAAAAATATAGTTAAATTATTCTAGCCTTTTAATACCATCATCCATCTAGTTGTTGGCCCGGTATGGCCAGGTAGTTAGGGCGCTCGACTTGCAATCTGTGGGTCGCGGGTTCGAATCCCCGTCCCACCAAACATGCTCGCCCTTTCAGCCATGGGGGCATTATAATGTGACGGTCAATCCCACTATTCATTGGTAAAAGAGTAGCCCAAGAGTTGGCGGTGGGTGGTGATGACTAGCTGCCTTCCCTCTAGTCGTACACTGCAAAATTAGGGATGGCTAGCGCAGATAGCCCTCGTGTAGCTTTGCGCGAAATTCAAAAACAAACCATCTAGTTGTTAAGTAGCTAAATGTGACCCGTGTATACCTTGTTCTATAGAGCTGCTAAGAATAACTTATAATTTGTCTTGTCTGTTATCTCAGTATACCAGGTATTATCCATTTTAAAGGTGGTTTTTTACTAGTATAAATCAACTAGTGGCTAGAGCTGAGCAATAGTGGTATTTGCTAATCAATCTCACACGAGACTAATTATCCTATATTGAACTTGATTTTTTAAGACATTTTGAAAACACCTTGTATTTGATATGATAAATATTTGGGTACAATTCTTTAGGATTAAGATACATTTTTAATTCCATACTGTTGTACATGAATATGTCACATATGCCCTAGTAGTATGAAACCTTTAACAAGCTGAAAAAAAGGATTATTACCATTCCATGGGTTTCTTCCTACATATTTTCACAACACTACTCTACTAAAACTAAAGAAACTAATTCTTAATTAAAGATATTTGTCCTTAGATTTCATCTGATAAAACTAGTAGAGGTGTGTGTTGGGCTAAGGATTCTTCTACAGTAGGTGTCTGTGACTTTTTGGCAATAAGTGCAAAATATATGTACTCACTCCACTTGTTTTCAAAATAATATATATCTATATATTTGGAACTAGTTAAACATATGTACAACAAATTCTTTATGCTATAGAGATCATAGGCATATCATAAACACTATATAGTTCTCCTCTTCTTGTCAAAAGTTCACTTAGGCCTACTAAATTGCTTTAGAATTTTGGTTGGCAAACGGAACTACCTTTCTCTATTTTTATCGCACTAGTATTCCATGTATAATTCACTTACTCTGCCTCGTTGAGTTACTGCAGTTGTATTTAGGCCTACTTCTAATAACACAGGCCTGCAATGGTTTTATTGTCTTGAAGTATTTACATGTTCTACAGTAATTCCTGTACTTACCAATTATTTGTGTACACATGTTTTACATCTTTATCTTGTATTATAATATAATCATTTAAATTTTGTGATACATTACTTTTATTTTGTTGTCAAAAATAATCTTCCAAGACTACCTGCTGTCTGATACAGGTGACAAAAATCAAACTGCTTTGACTTGTTTATTTAGTATTAGTCATTTGAAAACAAATGCATTTGACTATTCTGTTAAATGTTTTCTAAAATATGTAGCATCGTGAAAAAGTATTTTATGATTTAGTGATATCTAATTATTATTTATTACACCAGAGTATCACATTTGATCATAAATTATTCTTTTCACAAGTTATATGGTATAGTTCAAATTGTCAAATTTGGTTTTAAGCCAGCTCCAGCAAATGTGTTTATTAGATGCCATCTGTGATTCTAATGAATAAATTATCTTCCAGTAGTAAGCAAGTAAAACTGGGGAATGCATATCTTGTTTCACTTGTCCTGGGCAACAGTTAAGGTAGAGCCTTGCCTAGTATACTATTCTCCATTCAGGTGATAAATATAATTTACATGATGCTTTTTCAGGTATATTATCTTTCATTGATGAACATTTGTCAGGAATGTTGTTTTCTCTGACATCAATTTTGGTAATACTATTGGTTGGTTTTGGACCTCTGTTCTGGTTCTGTAACCGTTCTAGTCTATTTTCCTTTGCTACAGACTAATTTATTTTAAACATGTTTGGTTTTTCATGAGGAGGAAATTTGTATGTTTGAGTGAAAACAATACAATATAAATTGAAACCATTCCAAACTGGTTCTGATAGACAAACTTTTAGATGCATTGAAATAAGAACAAAAATGTAACAAAAAAATCCTGGTTACATTCTTTTTCTATAAAACAGTGTAGAATCAAAGGCTTTTTGAAGTTAAGAAGGGACTAAAGTGAATGTTAAGACGTGTTAAAAAATTTAGAATACCACAAAAGTTTCATCAATTTCATGCTTTTACTACCTTTGATAAATACCTAGATATCAAACTGCAATAGTGCAAAGCTATGATTTAAGAATAAAATGCCTGATATAGGAGTGAAACAATAAGTCAATTAATAATCATGATTATAGATAGCACAATTTTAATTTGTATTTGTTGATACCTATATAAAACCAGAAGAATATATGTAACACATGTATTGTTGAGTGAGTTGGCCTCCCTGTAGTCCTATTCCACTGCTGTATATTATTTTACTTTTTTAACATATATTTGTGAAAGACCTAAACATTTGTATTAAAAGAAATGAAATCTGCATGTGTATCAATGTAAAAAAATGTGTCCAATAACTGAACTGAGACTAACTTTTAGTATCATCTTGGTTCTGGTCTTTCTCATTTTTTTAAGTAAAATTAAACTTGTAGTATTGATATTTTTCATATTGTTCTAGAAGAAGAAATTAATATGTTTCTTCCTTATCAACTTTAAAAAATGCTTGACAAATCCATATAATATACTTCGTACTGCCCCTTGTATAACAGTAGTTCTTAAACATTTTCTTTCACAGACCACATTTTGGTCTTACCCCACCTGCTTTCACTTGCCATCCCAAAACTGATCACAATTAATAGAAAGAAATGTGCTGCTTTCAATATGACTTGCATTTTTAATGTGTACACATTATTTCTGTGTATGTATTAGTTTTTATATAAAAATTAATACATGCTCACCATGAGAAAATTGCTGAGCAAAGTGTTTTATTCTTTGATATAAAATCTTCTGCAATAAATTAAAATCAGGTTATGATAGTTTTCAATAATACTAGTTTGACTAATACTTCATCATATGACTAAGAAGAAAACTAGTCTAAGGAAAATTGTCATGTGTCATTGACTCTCTTTATTGATGACTTAGTCATATTATGAAATAAAAAATGAAAGTATTTTGCTGTTCAAGTGTTTATTTAAGATTGCAGTCTTTAATTATTCCTAATGCATTCTTGGTCTTGTTTTTCCTGTAACATCTGCTGCTTTTCATCCTGATATTTCATACCACATTTGCAAGATCTCAAAAAAGCTTTGCAGTTTCTTCTTACATTCCAGATCTTTGATATTTCAAAATTCAGTTCCATTTTTAAATTTAAGTATTACATGTGGAGCTTTCAGTCTAATTTTTGGAAAGCCCCCAGTGGCTCAGCAGTAAGTCTGTGGGCTTATAATGCTAAAACTTGGGGTTTGTTATCTGTGATGAGCACAGCACAGATAGTCCATTGTATAGTTCTGTGCTTAACAACAAAAAGTCCTTTTTGGAAAATGATAATTTATTATAGACTCAATGAGAAATAAAGTTATCACTTAATTCGTAGGTTAAAACATTGCTATTATGGCACAGTCATTATTAAATAGTTTCTATATCCAACATTAATGTTTCACAAGATTTAAAATGTGCAAAATCCAAAATTAGGCATATTTCTTTTTTATAGCATAAAAAAACTTGTTAAATATCTTTACTATAAGATGTCAAACAACTTAATCTCTAAGTGAATCTGAATCCTTCTCTGACCATTAATTCTTCTTTCTCTATTTACAGTTTTGCTTACAGAGCATAAGAATAAGAATTTTGAGTGATTTGTTGATACTTTCCATTAGAAATATTTTCATAAAAGCACAATGTAAATGTTAAATGAATAATTACAACAAAAAACACTATTATTTCCATTTACTTTTTCTAGCCTGAGTTTTACCAAGTGTGCCACACTAAAGCAGCATACGAGGAATATGGCCCTAGTATATGTCGTCACAACCCGGTATTTGGAACAATGACATAGTGTTGTTTTTGTTTTTTTTTCGTTGGTGTAAACTTTAATTTGTATTGAAAATATGACTGAATTAATAATTTACTCATTATCATCATTTAACTGTCATCAAGATAAGAAATGTTATGCTACTGCAATAATAATTGTTTATTAAGCTTGCTTTCCTATACTTTGATTAAAAAGTTAAAAGTAAAATTATACTTTATAAGTTACATGAAAGTAATTCTGTTATTTAAAAAGTTGACATATTATATCTGATTCTTGACACACTAAACAATTATTGATGATGTAATAATAAAGTATTCCAATTAGATGTGTTTTGAGTCATTTTAAATACTTCATATACTAAGCGATATTTGTTATACATCATGTTTCCAAATACAGACCTGACAATTTCATGTGAAGTTTATATTCATAACACTAACAGAAAATTACAACATACACAATCCATTGAATCTATTGAACCATGTTTTACCAAACTGTATTATTTTTATAATTTATTATATTTCATTGAACTGGTCAGTTAGATTCAAAATGAAAAATGCTGTAAAATGACCTCAGTTTTGGAGGTATGATGTATGTCAATTGCACTTACTGTAAGGTTACTTTCTTTTGAATTTTAGTATGTATGTAAATTTATTATTAATACAATATTCATTTAGCAATATATTTTCTGTATTTCTGATATTTTATAAGAATAGTACATTATTATCCTGTGAACATGGTTTACAAATGCAGTGTATACATATAGCCTATTGGTTGTCTTTTACTCACAACATTGAACCTTATGTTTATATAGGTTTTGAAGAAAATGTTGCATTGATGCTACTTATTCATTCCCGTAGATACTGCAAAAAATAAAAAGCCCAAAATGTCATTCTATTTACCACTTGTCACTGAGTAGTATGAGTTAGTTATAGGGGGATTCCATCTTTCCTCAGTCACCCTGTACCAGGACGAATCAAATGACAATACTTTGTAGGTTTTTTATAATGGTGATCTGGATGTGAATAGATTACGTTTAGAATGAAATAGAAAAAAATGTGCTAACATGTAGTTTGAAATTCATAATTCCTCCTTCATAACTTAAATTTAAAGATTTGAACAGTTGTTACAACAAATATCAAAATAGAAAATATGGTATAATAGTAGTGTCTTGACACTATTAACACTCAAATATGATTACATTTCTTAGCTTGTGACACTGTGTTGCTGGCACCAATAGAAGACACGATAAAATATACTTTGGTTATGAATGAACACATTTTCAGCTGCACTACTAAAGTTCGATCAAAATGACTGCATCTGAGATGCCTTTTTGCTGCCTTAACAAGTTGTGTGCGTGCATAATGGAGTTGTATCTCTTGAACCAAGATGCCCTGTTGAAGGGAGAATTCATGATGGTTTCTTTGACACTTAGCAGCTGGAAATAATTTATCTTGTGTTTTGACACTAATTGTTTTGGTGCTCTTATTTCAAGGTTGTGAATTGTCTCTGTCTTCATATAGATTACCAGCTATACAGTAATTAGGAATAATATGTAGACCAAGCTGCTTATACAAGGCATAAGATCAGAAGATTTGAATTCATCCAAAGTGGGATGGTGAATATGTGACTGCAGAACCTATTCATCAGATAGCATTGTCTTATCTTTGTGACATTACCAGCAGTTTGGATGACTGATGTTTCTTTGACCTTTAAATAAGTTAGGATTAAAGTATAAAGTTAATAAGTATTAGTCATCTCCTAATTCTAAGTGACTATGCCCAAAGTGAGTAATTGTTTTTAATGGTTTATTTACCCAGTTGAAAATTTCAAACCTTAAAACAATTATTGCATGTGGCAGATTTTCCATGGAAAAAAAATGTAGGCATATCTATCACCCAAACAGCATGTTTGAATTACTCTTACATCATATATAATGTGGATATATTAGGAAAATGACATGTAATCATTGTTTGTTATTGCTAATACATTAATATGTAAATGTACATACCTGCAGCAGACATAGTGTTATATTTTTGAATTCAAATACAGTATTTAATGAACAGATTTACAAGCAAAAAAAAAAACCAATAAGACAACAAAAGTGAGGTACAAATCAAGAGTGTATTCAATACTCAGGATCTACAACTTTGGCCCAACCAATATCTTCACAGTGAACAGATCTTGAATGACAAATTCAAAGTTTTATGGATAGAAGAAGTATAAAAGATAGGTCACTATGAAATCACTTTTTTTAAAAAATAACTATTTCATCAAAAGTATCTTTGGCACATCTCACATTTTCTTCACATCACCAGGGTACTGAAGTGAAGAACTAGCAATGTCACTTTCATAATGCACAACAATTGTTGACTAACAGTTCATTTAGTACTTTTCCAATGTTTCTGAGCTCTGGCAGATCCTTTGATACTAAATTATCAGAATCCACTGTAGCTCTATTGTAGGATAATGGTCTTAAAACAAGAATGGATACAAGTTAATGCCACAGAGAATGCATTTCTATGGTGTTAAATGAGCTGTGGTGTGACTGTCGTAGGCAACTTTGGCTATCTTAACAGTCAATGACAAAAGTGGCACATGTGCCCCAGAAAACAGTACAACCTAAAGAAGAAGGGTCCTCACCTGAAAACGTAACACAAATTACACATACACATATTGCTTCCTTAACATGTCCATTTAAACCATTACATACTTCAAGCAGCTAGAAAATTAAATAGGTACTTGTGATATTTCATAAGAAGACATACTGGTTAAGTTGCCTGTAGATGTCTGTGTGATTGGGCTGTTGAAAGGGGTGATGGAAAACCATCATTCTTGTACACGAGATGGGTTTTAGGAAGCCTTCAGGGAAAATTGGTGTGTTTGGACAAGATAGCCTTAACATGAAGCCTTTTGCCATGGAAACTATGCTGCAGGACTATAGTTAACATGGAGAGTCATCAGATAAGAGTATGGCCAGCCATAGCAACTTGATGAGACTCCACTTCAGTAAAGAAGAATATTTATTGTGAAAGTTTGGGTTTTAAACATTTGTGCACTAATGTTTTTTTGGAAGAGAGTTTGCAGTTAATATGTGATCTTCTATATCAGAATAACGATGTTATAATAAGGTTTACAAGGTATATTTTCATAAATTGAGTTTTGACATCCACAAATCTTATGTTTTATTAGCAGTATTATATATGATCAAATGTGTGGAGTCCCTCCGGATCAAGATTAACATCATCGCTTGATAACTTTTTTTTTCATCTCCAGTGATTCTCAACATATAGACCACTTTTTTACGATATCTTATTCTGCCCAAAAATACAATATTCACAGTAAAACATCAAGAAGAACTTCGTGATATACTAGTACAGGTTTGAATGTGTAGTATAATACGAAAACATTCACAGGTATGAACTCTGATTTTGTCAGTTTCATTCCAGATTTGTCAAAAATAAAACTAGTTGAAATACCATTTAACCTGGTTTGTAGAATTGATAGTACATATAAATATTTTCATTAGAATGTTTCAGAAAAAACTTTTCCACGTAATATGGTTAATAACGTCGTTCATAATTATTCAAATAAAGGTTAAAAATATAACATCGAATGTGACAATTAGTCAAGTCGTTAACTAACTTTTATTATATATTTATATTATATATAAAGTCCGGCATACTAATCATGTGCAAAAATAAACAAACAAACAAAAAAACATTTTCTTTTTTATTTATTTAATAATGAGTCTCGTATCATGATGTGGTTAACATGGCCTTGTGGAAAGTACTGGCAGAGCTACAACTTGAGTATAGCTCCAAGCAAAGCAGGCACTGTCAGAAGAGCCATTGTCTTAGTTTAGAGCTTATGTGCCCTGGTACTTAGGAAGAACTGCCACCGCCTTGAGATGATATGCACTGGTATTAGTCTTGTACAGTAGTATTTTATCTGTTACAAACTCTCCATTTTGAAAGAAGATAACCTGAACACTTGCTGTTGTTTACTTCATAATGGTAATTTCTTTGTTTCGAAGGGAAACAATCTAATTATTTCTTGTGGTCGAATTCAACCTACGCAAATTTTGCAAGAACGTTTTATTATTGTAACTAGCTGAGTTACCAGGCGTTGCGCGGTGAAAATTTTGAGTTGAGATGTATAGATCAGTATTTTTTTCAGCATCTTATTCAGTAAGTAGACAAAAGCTGTGATGCGAGAAATAAAAAATCATTTAATCAAACAAAGCTTTATTTGAAATTAGATCTTGTTTGAGTTTGTCTTGTCCTTTGAGCCTGAAGTCGTACATCATGATGCTCCTCTGTTTCTTGCTCTCTGTAAGTTAGTTGTCTTAATTTTTGTGCTTGAAGTCTGGTTTGACGTTGTTCAGAAGTTTTATGTTGTCTATATCCAGCTTGCCTTGATGATTCTGACTGAACTCTGGCTTTGTG